TAATAGTTTGGAGAAGAGTTGTTTGCAGTTTTTGGTTAGACAATAAAGTCTCACTCGTTTCGTTAGCTGCTTTAGATGCTTCCTTTTTTGAATTTCTAGAACCTTTTAGTTCTCTGCACATCACCGTTACATGACATTTGTTGCAAACTAGGAATTTCACAGAACTTTTACACTTTTCGGCAGCATGCCCAATTTTTAGGCAGTTAAAACAAGCTTTTGTCTTTCTTAATAAATTTTTCTTATCTTCCAATGAAAGGCTGTGCAGCTTAAAGCACTCGTAAGAATTATGTGTTTCCTTGTCACACCAAACACAAAAATTAAGCTGTTTCTTTGAATCTCCTGCATAAATACAAGTTGCTGCAGCTGGAACCGAGACATATTTGTCTGGAGCAGAAAAACATGTACGGGCCAACTGAAGACGCTCTTCACTTTCAACTTCAATTCGGAGAAAATGCAATAAATTTTCCAAATTTTCAGTGTGTGCAACACTTTCCCTACGCTGGCGAGATCGCTCCCATGCCCTCAGAATTTTTTCAGGTAGTGAAGATTCTACAAGGGAATACAGCATAGCTGCATAAATCTCACTTTTTACCCCCAACGTCTCCAAAGCTCTGAGTTGCATCTTTAACTTATCATATAAGTTAGATAGAATCATATTTCCTTTCTTGCTAGCTTCAGCCAAAACCAACTTTAATAATTCGCGAACGTAGATTTCTACGAGTAATTCGTCGTGTGCAAATCGAGGTTTTAGCTGCTTGATAGCTTCTTTATAATTCACGTCTGAGGGAGGATAACCATCTATGAGCTCTCTCTCTGGGGATCCAACGACCGTTGCCTGCAATAAGTACTGAAATTTATCATCATCACCTATATTTACATCTTCGTCAATCTTCTTAAACTGTCCCCAAAATCCTAACCAATTTCGGGTCTCCCCATTGAATTTTTGAAGCTCCAACTTTGGTAATTTAAAGTTCCTTTTCGTGGAATTTTCTAAAGTTCCAGGTGTAATTACAGGAGTGGAATTCACTATTTTATTTTCTCATTTTGTTTTTAAACTGATATATTTATCACGATATGTTTCATTCGTGTCAAAATCAGCCAAATATTCACATTCGTTTTCACTTTTCCACAAAAGTTCGGAAATTTGTGATTGAACTTCATCTAATTTGGTGAATTTTCCATCCAATTGTGAGTTCAATACTTGGACTTGATTAACCTCCACGTCAGGCTTTAGAATTTCAGTATCTAAAGCACTGGCAGTAATCGTAAACGATTGCCTTAGAGCCTTACGCTTTCGTAATAAAAATTCCATGATTTTAAATTCAATATGCCCAATATATTCAAATAATAAAGGATATAATCAAATAAATCATAAACTCACTTGATAAATTCCAATACGAAATCGATGTTTCTTTTTCAAACCGTTGTTTCGTTTTCTTCAAATAGCCATTCTGTCCTGTCACCGGACACCAGTTGTTTGAAATTGATCAATTTCTTGACTTATTTAATAACTTCAGACGAATGGTAATATACTTAGCAGAGAAAACCTTTTTAATTAACAACGAATTATTTTATTTAGCATTCTAAAAATATCCAAAAGAATAACATTCCATGCGTTTTCACGCTCAATGTAATATATAAAACAACATCACTGTTACCACAAAAAATCTACATTATAATGAACACATTAGATTATTGTGTATTAATTGCGTTCGTGCACGTTCCTTAACACACATACAGGAGAGTTTTCTGAAGTAAAACTTTTAAGAAAACACAGGATCTTATATTTTGGTGAATATGCTATACTATTTAACTTTAATATACATTCATAACAGATGTACAGCAGGTGATTAACTTTTTTTTTGGCAACAAAAATACATGTGCAAGCTAAAAAAGGTTTTAAGTTCCTATATTGACCATTTTAACTTTGAAAAATTACCACATAAGCAAAGAATGTAAATAAATGATTTCTGAGTATGAACTAAGTTTTCCTTTCTAGATTATAAGAAATAATTCTAAATATTTACATAATGTTTAACTTTTCATCGATGAACTAGCAAATATCATACACATAGACTCCAACCTTCAGCAAACCTTGTCAGTAGTCAACGTGCGAACGACATTTTTACAACTTTGAAAATGTGCGTGTAGCGTATGTTGTAATTAACCATTCATTAATTTTAAATTAATAATTAATTGTAATCAATTTTATTACATTTAAAATCCATATACATATAAAACTGAATAATTAAAAATATACCTTGTAAATTATATGCACATTTAATTAGAAATTTTCTTTTAACTCCTCAAGCATTCACTAATAAAAAGTACTTCAAATCACTACTAATCATAGAAAAAATCAGAAGCTATAAATCATATCTTTATTCTGGATATGATTTCTACAGGGAAATAAAATTTAAATAACCAAGAATGATACATATAAGTATTAAACAAAATACGCATAATTTATAAATGCAAAGATTTATATGTAGCATGCTTAGCAAGCTTAAGTTCTGATTTTGAGAATGTTTTTTTATAACACAGTTCTTCATTTGCCTGCATATTTATTTTTTCAATCAAAACTGCTTCAAGAGTTTTAAGACCTAAATTTGGTCGAAATTCCGTCTGATTTTTTTTAACAATAGAAAAAATTCTTTCGCAAGCTGCATTTGAATGAGGTATTATTAAGACAAGCAAGCATTACAGAAGGCAATACTTTGTATTTAATACACCCATTCATATTTTTTAATTTGGCAATTTCTCCCCATGCTATATCAATACGCAAATCTACAATTTCTTTCAAATCATCTACTTGATACATGGAAAATTCAATTTCTACTTGATTAAGACATTTTTCTTGAATAATGGATGGAAAAGTATTCATCAAGTAAAGAACAGATGAAAATGAGACTTCAGTTCTCAAGTTGATGTCAGCAACTTCAGCATGTTTTAGAAATGGATCACTCAGTGGAAATTTATCAATTATATATGAACATGCAGTTACAAAAAAGCTCGCACAGAATTGAAAAAGAATTTCACTTCACCTTTCATTCAACTTGGCATTTTTTTAAATATAGTCTTGTTTCCTCCGCACCAATCACTAAATTTTCATTTTCTTTTTGTTTACTATACTTCTGAAATGGAATAGACGTTAGAGTAACATCTTTCATTTTCTTTAGAAATTACTGATGGTTTTACGGAATCTAACAAATAAATCATTAAAAGTTCAAAAAGTTCTCTTCTCAATTTATGTATATAAGGAGCTTGTTGTTGCAAATTAATATTTACTGTTATAAACAAAGGCAAAGTATTTTTCAAAAATAACAAGTACAATTTGGTGGTCGGTGACTGTAAAAATTTTTTAATGTTTTGCAATCTCTTTCCTTCATTCTCACTGTTATCTGGTTTATCTCCAAAAAAATTTATCACAGCATCCCACTGTTCCAAAATCCTTGTTATAGATTCTAAAAGAGAAAACCATCTCGTACTGCAATATTTCAAAATTTTATGAGATTTTGCATTCTGTCCCAAAATTTGTTGAGCAACTTTGAAGCTATGCTTCCGTTTCGAACTTTTCTCAAAGTAAAAATATATATCTATTATCAACATTTCAATTTCTGAGCCAATTAATTTTTCAGTAGCTTTTTTTGCAGCTATATGCAAGAGGTGGCACGGACAACCTCGGGTGATTATACTTGGTTGATGCATTTTGATAAATGATGCTACACCTTTAAACTTTCCAATCATATTACTAGCATTATCTGAAGAAAATGATAAGCAATTTTTCCATTCTAAACCTTTGTTTTTTAAAGTTTTCATTTATACAATTAAAAATAACCTTCTCCTGTATTATTCGTGCATTCTAAATAGAAATGAATGAAGTAATTATCACTCCCTTTTCTTTACTGTAGTATGTTATAACCAATGGGTACAGTTTGTTATCATTGTTATCATTACTTCCATCAGTACTTTAGAGAAAAAAATGATGTATTGCACACTGATTTTATAATATCAGCAACAGTACTTTCTGCAAGCGTTTTCACAATAGCAATAGTTTTGGTATGACCGCAGCTAAAGTTTTTTGCTATGGCAGAATCAGGAAACATTGCTTTGAAAAGCTCTTTGGAATGATCCGAAAACGAGAAAGCGGTAGATTATGTTCAATTAAAAATCGAACAAAATAGCATTCGGCTTTTATAGGATCACCTGTTTCATCATCTTTTATTAAGAAATTTGTTATTTCTTTAGATTTTACAGTGCCAAGTTCTATATGCTTTTGAGAAAAACATGCCGTTTACAGTCATCTTTTCCGCCATGAGCAACTGAGAAGTCTTTGTTGCATACACTGCAGTGTGCGTGATTCACAGAAATTTCCGGACGCTTTAATGCATGGAAATTCTGAAGAATATGAATCTTTAAACTTCTTGCTTTGATAATTTTGGCTTCTTCGTTCGAGGCAGCATTATGAATTAAAAATCTTTCCACCTGATTCACAGTTCACAAGACACACGCTAAGCTCTCGCCGTAAACTACACAATGCAGCTGAATGCAGCCTAAACACGCATCAGTGAGGAACCTGGGAGACAGACAATTGGGTGGAACTATTGATAAGTCATTAACGGTTGGAGTTACTGATCTACGATTGGCTAATTCTTCAAAACTAGGAACGCACTCAACACGTGATATATGATAACACGAGTATTCAGCCAATCATCGGATGAATTAGTTGGTTCCGTTTTGCGTACTGGTTCTCCTGCTCTTGTTTCTGTAAAATCTGCAGTTTTTTCCATACTTTTCGTAGCTCGTAGTTTTTCATGAATTTCCGTAGAAACTACGGAGAATCCGTAGTAGTTGGAGTCTATGCATACATTAATTATACCAAAGTTGTTACTTTTTGACAATTTTAAACTGAAACAAAACAAGTAATCATTCAACAAAATACATCATATATTCATATACATCTCACATACATGAAGGAAATAATATTGATTGAAACTTACGGTTTAATCACGGTGCAAAGCCTTTGAGTTAAATATTTATTAAGCATAAGATTCAAACCAGGAATCGATAAACTAGCTTCACCAGCATGAATGTCAAAAGCTACAGATATGAGAAATGCGGCAGAAATTGTAGATCTTGATTTTGATTCAGCTAAGTAATGCCCTAAAATAATACCACCTAGAGAGATTCCAACTCCATAAATGGGAAATTCAGGATATTTTCTTGATATATGCTCCAATACTTCTCGCAAATCTTCTGTATTGCAGGCAGAATAAGTTTTTGGTGTCTTAAAGGGAAAGGAGAAAAGAAGAAAGAGAAATTAAAATCTAAACTCAAAATTTACAGTAAATTACAAATAGTTAAAAAAAGTAGATAAACATCTAGAAAAGAATTATGTTTTAAAAATTTAATAAAGATAAATATTAAGATCATGCTTGAGATTTTTTCATGTGTTATTTCAGAATCCAGTTTGCCTGTCTTGTATACCCAGATTTTAATGTACAAATATTTAGCTACATATTAAAAGACAACAAATTTCTCTATTAACATAAAGTATTTATTGCATGACAAAAATTCCAAAAAGGGTCTCATACTTGCCAACCTATGACACTCAAAAATCAGGAGATTTTTCACAATGTTAAAAAGAAATTTTAAATTATAAAAATATAGTTTTTAATAATGAATTAATTTTTAATAGTTACTAAGTCTTAAATGCAAGCAACACAAAAATACCTTAGACATAAAAAAACATTTTTATTACTTGCATCGTTAAAAAAAAAAAAAAAAAAAAAAAAAAAAAAAAAAAAAAAGACACTTTAATCAGTTTTCGTAAAATGTTATGAACAGTGGCAGATATTTTGCTTTTGTTACAAAAGAAAGTTTTCATAATTTTGTTCATAGCAATTGCCACGTAGGTAGGCCTGCTTTCGCTAATAAAAGTTTTTCTAATGTATCATCACCAATATTAGTTCTAAATTTAGTCCTCGTTTTCGCAACAACACAGAAAATCCTCTCACACTTCACATTACTATGGCGAACTGTCAAGATGGAAAACATAATTCTAGACAGTTCACTATATTTTAAAATTCCATCAGCACCTTTCAGTTTTGCAATTAAACTCCACTTGATGTCAATCCTAGCTGATTTTCTAACTTCATCCAAGTTTTCTAATTGTAAACTGGAAAATTGCGACTGCAGTATATCAGTAGCAACATCAATATCGTCATCTTTCATGACTAAACGAAGTAACACAGGAAATCTGTTCAAAAAGTACCTTATATCAGAAAAAGATGCATTTGCTAGAGGAGAAACATCACAAACTTTAGCATGCAAAATCACTTCATCGTTGACTGGAAATTTATGTAGTACGTAATCACATACTCGACAGAAGTAACTTCTAACATGAAGATAAAACTTATTTTTGTCTTCTTCTGAAAGTTCTTCCACTACTTTTGTAGTTGCAGCTCCTATTACCAAATCTTCATCTTTCTTCTGATTTTCTATTTCACCACAAATCACATCATATATAGAATTATGAGACAAAACACAGACTGGTTTTACAAAGTTTGATAAAATGTCTTTAAACAGATCATAAATCATTAATTGCAAAACATGAATTAATGGAATTCTGCTTTGTAGAATTCCATTAAGAACATTGAATGATGGCAAAATGAATTGTAAAAAAAAGCAAAAAGCTTTGTTAAGGTCCGAAGAAAAAAACATAAATATTTGTTCTTCACAAGATAAACTTACAGTAATCAGAAAATGTTTCATGCGTTGAGCAATCTTTTGAGAGAAATTTGTATCAGCTTTACGCTTATATTTTGCAGTATTAATTTGAGAACTGCCAGTTGAATTGCTGAATGATGCAAAAATTACTTTATTTTTTTCAAACCTATTATTAACAATGGAAGTAGTAACTGTTATATATGTAACTGTAACTGTACCTATTATTATCTTTAACCATAACTGTAATATAGTATAGCAGATGAGCAATGTAGAATAAACGATGTTTGTGTACATCTTGTAATCATCACTGAGCATGTACCCAACACATATAAAATACAACACATGGTGCAGCTCGTCGTTGATTAAAAAAGAATATCTTTTTTGAAGAACCATGTAGCCTCGGTAAACATGTTCTAAACAAAAACATCATGGGAAGTTGTTTATTGTGAAATCGAAACTTATATCGCTGGTAAGTGAGTTGTTTATTTTTATTGGAAATGGCTAAAAATACGTATATATAAACTATTTAAAGTCCTAAATTAAATATGGATGGATTAAAGCCAACAAGTAATCTAAGTTTCGAAGGAAATTTAAGCGAAAATTGGAAGAAATGGAAACAAAAATTCCAAATTTATATGTTAGCGTCTGGTGGTATTACTAAATCACCTGAAATTAAAGTAGCTATTTTATTGCATATAATTGGTGAAGAAGCACTTGAAAAATTTAATACTTTTAATTTAAGTGAAGAAGATAAGAAGGATGTTGACAAAGTAATTGAAGCTTTCCAAAATTTTTGCATACCGAAAGCCAACGAAAGTGTTGATAGACATATATTTTTCTGTCGAACAGAACAGGTAGGTGAATCATTTGATGATTTCTTAACCGATTTAAAGAAATTAAGTAGCAACTGTGGATTTGCAAAATTAAAAGATAGTTTAATAAGGGATAGAATAGTAAGTGGAATTCTAAATAAAAATCTCAAAGATAGATTACTAAGGGAAGATGAGTTAACATTGGAGAAATGTATTAAAATGTGTAAAACTTCTGAATTAGCAGAACTTCAGCTGAAAACTTTAACTGAAGAAAATAAAATAGAAGCTATTAAACGTAATAAATTTCGACCTTCAGAGGAAAAAAGTCAGCCTTGTAAGAAAGACTTTTATGTAAAACAAAAGCAACAAAGTACTAAATCTTCTTCAAACTATCAAGGAAATAAGTACAATAATCCAAAACCATGTAGAAAATGTGGAACTTTTCATAAGTTATACAACTGTCCTGCTTATAATAAGATTTGCTTGTACTGTAAAAAGAAAAATCACTTTTCTAAAATGTGCACTTTTAAAAATGTTAATGTTGTACAGAATAATTTAGAGCATGAGTTACATAATAATGGTAATGAATATATTTTAGGGTCAGTAGAAGATACAAATCCATTTCTAAAAATAAAAACCGAATGGTTTGAAAAACTAAAAGTAAAACATATCTAAATATTTATTTGTTAAGTTGGATACTGGAGCTCAGTGTAATGTGCTACCATTGCCTAAATTTAAACAATTAAATTTAAGAGAGAAATGTTTGACTAAATCAAAAGTCACTTTAAATAATTACAATGGTACTACAATTGATGTAGTTGGAAAATGTAAATTATTATGTGAAACATCGAAAGGGGACAAGGATGAAATAGAATTTCAAGTCATAGCATGTGATAAAACTGTTCCAGCTATTTTAGGTTTACCTACATTGCAAAAATTAAACCTAATACAAAGGATTTGTACAGTAAATCCTGATTCTAATGAAAGGTTACCAGAACTTTTAAAAGGATATCAAGATTTGTTTAAAGGAACTGGGAATTTAACTGGATATACATATCATATTAAATTAAAACCAGGAGCTGTTGGTAAAATAGAACCCTGTAGGAAAATTCCACTTAGCTTATTAAATCCATTAAAAAAAGGAATTAGCAAGAATGAAAAAAAATGGTATTATAAAGAAAGTTAACCAACCAACAGAATTCGTGAATTCATTAGTGGTAGTAAGGAAAAAGGAAAAAGGATGGCAATTTAAGAGTGTGTTTAGATCCTCAGCACCTTAACCAAAATATACTGAGAGAACATTATCACATACCAACCTTTGAAGAAATTTCATCTCAAATGACAAATGCAAAGGTCTTTAGTATTTTAGATGCAAACAAAGCATTTTGGCAAATTAAACTGTCAGATTCAAGTTGTGAATTTACTACATTTAACACTCCGTTTGGTAGATATTGTTTTTTGAGGTTGCCATATGGACTGAGTTCATCACCAGAAGTTTTCCACAGAAGTTTTTCTGAAATTTTTAGTGATTTAGAAGGAGTTCAAATATATATAGATGACTTATTAGTTTGGGGTAAAGATAAAAAAGAACATGATTCAAGATTAAAGAAATTGTTGGACAGAGCCAGAGAAAAGAATGTTAAATTTAATTTAAATAAATGTAAATTTGGGCATGAAGAACATGATTCAAGATTAAAGAAGTTGTTGGACAGAGCCAGAGAAAAGAATGTTAAATTTAATTTAAATAAATGTAAATTTGGGCTGAATGAAGTGAAATATATGGGACATATATTTTCTAAAGATGGTTTAAAACCAGATGAAGACAAAATTAAGGCTATTCTAGATATAAAACCACCAAAAAATGTGAAAGAATTAGAAACTTTCCAGGAATGATTACATATGTTTCTAGATTTATACATAATGTATCAGAATTGACATCATGTTTAAGAGATTTGTTGAAAAAACAAGTTATCTGGAACTGGAATGCAACACATGAAAAAGCATTTAGAAGACTAAAAGATGTCTTGGTAAATAAACCAGTTTTACAGTATTATGATATAAACTTGCCAGTAGTTTTATCTGTAGATGCATCTCAAGAAGGACTAGGAGCAGTCTTACTGCAGAATAATTTACCAGTGGCATATGCATCTAAGGCATTAACAGATACACAGAAGAATTATGCTCAAATTGAAAAGGACACTTTAGCTATTGTATTTGCGTGTGAGAAATTTCACCAGTATATATTTGGAAAAAATATTACTGTGGAAAGTGATCATAAACCACTGGAATCAATTTTTAAAAAGCCATTAAATAAATGCCCTGTAAGACTACAAAGAATGCGTATAAGTTTACAGCCATATCAGTTTGAGATAAAATATAAACCAGGAAAAGAACTTTTTATAGCGGATGCATTATCAAGATCATTCACTGATAAAGGATCTGATTTCTTTGAAGGAGAAATAGAAGCTCATGTTGGATTAGTTGTAGAATGTATACCAATGTCTAATGGTAAAAATGGAAGTTTTTCAACTGGAAAACAGAAAAAGATGAAGAACTACAAGTTTTAAGAAAGTTAATTAAAACTGGATGGCCAGATGAAAAATGTATGGTTCCAGAACTGGCAAAAAAACCATATTTTAACTTCAGAGAAGAACTATCAGAAGCAATGGATTAATATTTAAAAATTCCTGTGTTGGTTGTACCAAGAAGTTTACGAAAAGATATGTTAAGCAGAAATTCATTATGG